TTGCAATTATCCCCCATAGCACAGGTCTGCTGGATCGAGGGAGCAAGCGTCCTCGCAAGGATTTTTTTTTTTAATATATTTGAGATTTTTCACCAAAGAATCAAGAACACAAAGTAGATTTCAAATCTCAGGCACCTGTGAAAATGATCATCCCTTTCAGCAAAATCGGAGACACCTCTCGTTTCTCCTCAATGCCACTACACTGATGACTTACAGATGGCCGCAGGAGGACTGGGGTTCACAGAGATCACGGACAGGTCCGTGAAGTCCAGCACAGGTATTGTGCAGAAACAGAGCGCAGGGTTTCACTTACAGTCATTTAATGTGTGTGCTATTCCAAAGTTTTCAACTAACAGCGTCCACAGCACCACATTAAGTGCCCTTGGCTTCAGAGAGTTCCCATTTGTCTTTTTAAGGCCATGACTAACTAGCTGTTACACTACAACATTGTATCATAACAGTGAGAAATGATAATCCCACCTAAACCCTAGCAGAAGGCAGAAGGCAGAAAGCAAAGATATGGAGTGCAATGCTGGTTTGTTTCTTCTCCCTTATTTAAGAAATGCTCTGCATGTTTGTTTGTCTTCCTATACCTTTCCTATGGTTCAGAAACCATGATACACACAGGACAGTTCACATTCTAACCAAATCCAGTGATTAAAGCCTGCCCCATCCAACTCTGGCCAATTCTCACCAGTCCAAGAAACCAAGCATACAAACAGACATACAGCATTGACTTAGCCAGGAAATTGTGTCATCTCAGAGGAAGGTAAGGGGGGTGGTTTGCTAAGGTTAGCATGACCAAGACTTTCAACATGGAATGGTTACCAAAGAACCTAAAGCAGCCATTTCCTCTGTGTGTGTGTGTGTGAGAGAGAGAGAGAGAGGTGTCTGGCCATAGTGCATGAATTTATGAAGTAATCAAAGGGAACTTTTAGTTCAGTTGACTGCAAATAGCAACAGCTTAAAATTCTTTAACTAGTCTTAACACCATGCAAAAAATGCTCACACAGCATGAACCCTCTGGATGACCACGTGCCAAAGAACTCTAAAGGAGGATAGAGAGAGCCTACACAGGGCATGACATGATCCTAATTTGGAAACTGTCTCCCAAATACATCTGGTCTCCCAAGAAACAAATTCCAAGGTCAAGAGACTAAGCTCTCTCACCTTAACCTAAAATGAGTAGGACAATTAGCATTTGTAAATCCAACTTAAATGTGCTTTGTAACTTCACTCATGGACTAGGGGATGTTTCATCAGAGAACTACCCAACTAAAAAGGGACCTTGATGATTATCTGTGCTCAACTCCCTTGGTGTGTAGACAAGGTCACAGAGATCCAGGCAGGAAACTGATGTGCCCACAGTCACAGGCTATGATTGGTGCAGCACAAATAGTCCCAGTTGCCTTAGTTACAGGCCATGGATACCCCTACCCCTCAATACATACAGCCCTACCCCAAAAGTAATGCATTCCTGGAATCACTGTTGGGTTAGGATGGGTCATGAAGCCATATTCTCTCCAAATCACCCCTTGGCTCTCCAGGAAACCTCCACATCTGCCTTAAAGGAAACTTCAGTACCCGATCCCTAAGTGAAGCAAAAGACACCACCCCCTGAAGATAGAGAACCCATGTTCTTTCCATGTATGAAAATGAAACATTGACTCCAGGTTTACAGCAGTGGTGTGGGAGTGCAGTAGGAGGGAGGAGCAGGTGTGCTGATACATATAAGAATAGGTGGCAGCTTTGCCTTATCACATGTATTCTATGTGCCATTTGTCCCCATCTAAAAAAGGTAACATTCATGTAACTTCAAAACAGCTGGTCCCTCCCCAAATCATGGCTTCCATGAAGAGGAATTCAACCTTTCTTCCTCGCTCAGCCTCTCCTTTGGAAAGCGCTTTATAGTTTTCTAAATACTCTGCTCACATATCCAATGGATCCATCTTCATCGAGGGTCTTCTTGGATTTTATCCATCAGGGCCCTGGCTCTCTGCACTCAGGGAGCAGATTATATAAGAGATTTCCCCACGCCCAGCCCTAGGCTATTTCTAATCCCCCTGTATAACCGATGTGACTCGTTTGGGAAAGCATCTATGTACACACCAACACATGCACCTGTTCCATTTGACAGAGCATGCAGCGTGGTACTTTGAGCGGTTTTATTCCTGCTGTATGCAGGGCTCCTGCAAAATAAGCAAGTAAAGTGCAAAAGAGTGCTTCCAAAGGGCATTTTTAACAATGGGAAAAGGATGCCACATACAGAATCCCGAAACCAAAATGAAAAAATAATGCACAACAGGTGCCTGCAAGGGCGACCCTTTGGGCCATGTTTATACAAAGAGTTCGTGCCCTCTAGGTGGTAAAAATCCCTCCATATCTTCTCCCTGGATGAGCTGTGTCCATGGAGCTAGAAGTACACACACACACACTCTCTCTCTCTCTCTCTCTCTCTCTCTCTCTCTCTCTCTCTCTCTCTCTCAAGGGCATGACATGGACACTGCAGCAAAGTGGAAAACAGACTTTGGTTGTACTTTGAATACCAGCACTTGCTGTACACCATTGGGTATGTTGCTTAGCTTCCCTGAGCCTTCATGTCCCCGTCCATATAATGGGTTTGCAAATACTTCCCACATAGAATTTGAGGTTTCAGGGAGCTGGCGTTCGTAAGGTATCTAATCCTGTGCCTGGCCTACAGAAGGCACTGGATAAACAGGAGAGAAGCCTCCTTGCCAGATATGGCTGTAGACGCTAGAATTTTAACACACAACTATGAAGAAGGTACCATGGCAACATGGGGTGGAAACCCAAATGAGTGAGATCCACAGACAGTTGAATTAGGAAACCTCAACTCATCCCAGCTGTCTACCAATACCTTGAAATGCATGTTGTCAGGCTGGAATGATTCCCATAGTAAAAACCAACATCCACATCTGCATGAACATCACGTCCCGAGTGACTATCTCTCTATTGACACAGGAAGTCACCAGTGAGCTCCAGCTCCAGCCCAATGGAGGAGCTAACCATACCTTCCTCAGACAAGAAGGATCTGATCAAAGTTCACTTCTATCTGGTTCCTTCTCAAAAGCGATGCCAGAACTTCACCTGGTGCCTAGAGATTTGGGGTCGGGGGGAGGGGGATTACACGTGCCCCAGGCAAGGGAGAGCCATGCGCTTTTTCGAAATGGACAAGAATAGGTCTTCACTGGTACCAGTGGGTAAGGATGTAGTGGGTGTAATTGTCCCTGGAAGTCAGAAAGCACTAGGTAGTTTCTGGATGTCTCTGCTAGTGCTATGAACTTTTGGTAAATTCACACTGTGGGTTAGTTATATGAAATTCCATTAACTCTCGGAAGGGTGGCACTAGGCCTAGAAGTTACATAAGCAGCAACTTCCTGGTGTTGCCAGGTCCAAGAACTTTAGCATGCAGCCAAATCTGTTAATTTTGAACCAGTATACCAGTCAACTGTGGTAAAGACTGACTGAGGCACCCACCAGATGATGACCTGGTATATAGTTTCCCTTTCTGACAGAAACCCATCTAAAATCATCTTCTCAAAACCTGCAACTAGGCATTCCCCTGCTCTCCCTCACTGGATATTTAACCTCAAGGAACAATCATGATGATCACATGTTCGCTATCGGTTACCTGTAAACAATCCATTTCAGGGGTGTACCAGTGTACACGAATAACAGGTGTGAGACAGAGAAATAAGCAAGGAGAAGAAGTGATGTTTTTGGAATAAAGAAATGTCCAAACATAAAAGTAAAAATGAAATATTCTAAATATTTCAAACTATTTTTTTAAATGGAATTAATGGCACTTATGCTACAAGCAATAAAAACATTTCAAGCTTACTGTACAAGGGTGAGGGATTCATTTTCCTTTTGTCTGGAGATAGTGAGATTGGATCTCATAACTATATCCACCCTAAGACACCCGAAAGGACAAAAAGCCCTGAGATGGAAAGATGCCATGGTCCTCCTCGGTATGTCTCAGAAATGCAGGATGTCTGGTTTTTATTTTTTTTTTTAATAATTAGGATCAGCTAGACAGAACAGCAAGCCACTGGCATCATGCAAGGCAATAGTTTTGGTATTTTTCCCCCTCTAATCAAACCAAGTTACAACTGAAGTTCCACTAAAAAGTGAACATGGGCATTTCAAAATCAGTTTATTTTCACCATCACATCCGCTGAGGAAAACGCATGATTGACCTTGAACCATGCAGCATTTGATGCTGAGTTTCACCAATGCCCCCAAGTTCATTTGGACTCCCTAACCCTGTGAGAAAGACCCCACTCAGCAGGCTTCTGTCATTGGTTAAGGTGATATCCACAGTGTGATGTGTTTGCGATTATTTTTTTTTCTTTTGTAATGAGAAAAGCAATTGCACCTTTTAATACGTGTGCTCTGATCTGCTTCCAACAAACTCCAGGTGCTCTCGGCTCTCACAGACACTCACTCGGAGCTTAGAAAGACTAGGTGTTATGCACTGAATGGTTTGTATCAAAATTCAAGCTCAGAGCACATGCCGAAAATGTCAACTCCACCCTCATCACAGACACCAGTTAACCCTCAACTAGGTGCCCTTCTGCGTGTGCACATATCACCATTAGCAGGTTCAAGAAAAAAGACTCCATCTAAAAGACACACCTGTCCCTCTCAGGAGGGTGTTCTAGGGAATAGCTGCCCTTGTCTGTGTGTCATGCACACAGCACTGCCACCAAAACGCCTTTCACACAGGCGGCTAGAACCCGCTGTGTGCGCAAACGCTCCCTGCGTGTCCCTTGGTTGCAATGTGAAGTTCTCATTCTCTGATTCCTTTTGGCAGAGCAAGCTTCCAGTTGTTTATGGCACAGTGAAATATATTCTTCAATGCTATGTAATTTTGGACTAACAAGAAGTTTGTTTAAGGCACGTGTCTCAGTGTGAATATATAAAACAAACCAACCAAACAACCAACCAACCAACCAAAAAAAAAAAAAAAAAAAAAAAACGCTCAGTTCAAGTCCAGAATCCTTCCCATTTAGTTTCTGTCTTCAAGTAGTGAGTCCTTCTCCAGCTCCTCGTCTTTGGTGTCCGTGGGTACCATGCCGTTCTCCATCTCGGCCTGCTGCTGGATACAGTCAGTCAACACAGCTGTGCTGGAGTTGTCCGAGTTGCACATCTTTTCCGTCTCCTCCTCTTTCTTCTCTTCGTCCAGGGAGTAATTCCGGAAGGTCTTGTAGATCTTCTGGACGTCCTCCGGCAAGGTCTTCTTGAGGTCCTTGTTTTTCCTCTTGGTGAGCCTGGAGGTGGACCCGAACTTGTTGATAATGTTGTCCTCGGATGCGCCCTGCCCGTGTTTGTTCAGTTGCTCCGGCCCCTTAAGGCGCAGGTTGTTGGGCCGGTTGTTGATGCTCTCCTGGGACGAGGCCTTGAAGCGGCCCGTGTCCAGCGCGGCGAAGACCGAGCGCTTCTCGGGCGACAGCATGTCCAGCGAGTGGGCCCGCTGGTCCAGGCCCAGCCGCCGGCGCTCCATGCTGCGGATGGTGGCCGCCCGCTGCAGCTTGTCGTGGATCTCCACGCTCAGCCGCCGCCGTGTCTCCCGGAACTCGGCCGTGACGTTGGCCTTCCACTCGGCCGCGTGGGCCTTGATTTCGCCAACCTGGCCGAGAGACAAAAGAGCAACAACACGCTGAGAAAGGCCTCCCCGCCTCAGGCCTCTGGGCACCGACCTTGTTCAGGGGGTCCCTGCAGGGAGAGAGGTGGGGAGGGAGAGGGGACGGAGGGACAGGGCCCAACGCCACTTCCACCCTAGGACTTCTCGCCACCACCCGAGTGCCGGAAATTGGTGCTGATCGCCAGCAGAAAACTTCGGTCTAGGGAAGTCTGTTCTGTGGGCTGTGCCCGATTCCTGCACCCTGACCTGGGAGATTTGGTTACCGGGTCAGGGAGGGGGAGGATCTTGTTACCGCATAGTACATGGCCACAGCATGGCCCAGACATAAGGGACTTCACTGTTCCAGTTTGCCCAGGACCGAGGGGGATCCTAGGACATGGGGCTTTCTGTTTTAAAAACCGGGACAGCTCAAGCCTGTAATCCCAGCACTTTGGGAGACCGAGGTGAAGGGATTGCCTGAGCCCACGTGTTCGAGAGCAGCCTGGGCAACTTGGGGAGACCTGTCTCTACAATAATCAAAAAATTAGCTGAGCGTGGTAGCGCGCTGTAGTTCCGGCTACTTGGAAGGCTGAGGTGGAAGGATCACCAGAGCCCAGCATGTCAACGCTGGGATGGCCGTGAGCGTGCCACTGCACTCCAGCCTGGGCGAGTGAGATTCCAACTCAAAAAAAAAAAATACAACCCCAACAACAACAACAACAAAAATGGGGACAGTCCCAATGAAGTCCTGCCTGTGGTTGGCACCAAATCCGGGCATTCAGAAGGTGGCTGGGGGGCCGGGAGGGGTGTGGGGCTGTGGTGGAGAACCCCAAGGAAGCCTGAGAGCTAGAGATGGTGGTTGAGTGGGAGGTGGTCAGATTATGGGGAGATGTCAAAAGTGGGGGTTGAACAGAACTGGCTTCCCGCTCTGTTTCTGCTGTTGTGTTGATTGTATGTCTGCGTTCCCAGGACGCACACTGGGGTGACTGTATCTAGCTCACAGAGTGTCTAGCACTAGGTGAGACAAGGGAATCCACCTCACTCTGTCCCAAACAAAAGACTCAAAGCAGAAGCTCAGCAAGCCCTCCACCCAGCCTGTCCTTCTGACAGTCTATCTGGGTAGAGTGGCCAGGCTGTCCCAGTTTACCTGGGACTGTCTCAGTTTTAAAACAGAAAGTCTCATGTCCTAGAAAGTCCCTCAGTCCTGGGCAAATGAGGACTGCCAGTCATACGACATCTGGGTCATTCTGTAGCCATGTGCTGTCAGTACTGTGCTAGTTTTAAGAAGACCTACACTGGATATGGTGACTCACACCTGAAATCCTCAGTACTTGGGAGGCTAAGGAGGGAGGATCACTTGAGCCCATGAGTTCAAGACCAGCCTGGGCAACATAGCAAGACCTTATCTCTACAAAATATTTTTTTAAATTAACTAGGCATGGTTACGCGCACCTGTAGTCCCAGCTATTTGGGAGACTGAAGTGGAAGGATCGGCTGAGCCCAGGAGGTCGAGGCTTCAGTGAGCTCTGATGGTGCCACAGCACTCCAGACTGGGTGGCAGAGTGAGACCCCTGACTCAAAAAATAAAAAATATAGGCCAGGCGTGGTGGCTCACGTCTATAATCTCAGCACTTTGGGAGGCCAAGGCAAGAGGATTGCCTGAGCCCACAGGTTCAAGACCAGCCTGGGTAACTTGGTGAGACCTCATCTCTACAA